TGCCGCAGCGCTCCGCCCCGCCAGAGCCACAGCTCCTCCCAGCAGGGCCACGGTACGTCCCGCCCACTGTGTGCGGTGCTGTCTATGTCTGTGTGTCTGTCTGTGTGTATGTGTGCAGGGGGGGTCTCCTCTTCCCCGGCACCAGGCTCCAGGTTTGTTAGCCGGTGCAGAGCCGTTGTGCCGCCGTCCTGGAAACGATTTCTCCAGCCAAACGGGGTGATCTTCGTGTGTCCGTTAACACTCATGTCTGGTCAGGGTTCCCATTTTTATTTTGAGCCGGGTAGGAGATTTCAAATGGCAGGTGTGAGTACCCAAGGGCAGAAAAAATGGATGCAAGGCACCATATGGTTTTTCTTGGGCTCTTCTTGGGTGAGGTAGACTTACTGGTATTGCCAGAAAGTGTTACCATCATCTGCAACAGTGCTGTTTTCCGTTGATAGCACGGCTGTTGATTTTCATTCTGATTTAAAACAAGGTATATGTGACTTTACACCGCTTGAATTTGAAACTGACATTTGCAGTCCTGGTATCAAGCCTGTGAATGTTGCAAGTCTTTAAATAGGAGATATTAACTGAATGTTAAAAAAGTAAATTTCTGCTTATTAACAAAGGTAGTAGTTTTCTCGAGCATGGAAAAAAGGTTGAAAGAGTTTAAAAGAAATCAGAAAGAGGTTTAACATTTCTTATGGTTCAGTAGCAGTAATATTATGAAAACACAGCACTTGTGACTTCTTTCTTGAACAATGGAGCTTCTGGTTCACTGAGGTTAATCTGAAAAGTCTGATCTGCAGGCAGAGAGTATTTCTTAGATTTTTTTTGTTCTCTCCATGTGGTAAGACTACACAAAAGTGATGAAAGATAACCATGCCAAGACCAAGTTCTGGTCTGTCAGTTGCACAGTTAAATATGAGAAGTGTTGTGACCAGACGTTAAGGATGTTTTGTAGCCATTATAATTCAACTTAGAAGTAGAAAGGATGAGGAAACACTCGTAAAAGAAATTGGCTTAAACACAGCTAAGCCGTTTCCTTCCTTTCTGTTCTGAACTTCATATTAACAATAGACTTTGTGCATGTGCTGGGAAGTGTTCTTGACTGTGGAGTTCTACAGGGACACCTTATTAGTCCCAAGCCTAGGTCCCTTTCATGTTTTACTTCAGGTCCTTTGCTTTCCTTATCTTGTCACTTTTCTAAATTTCTTTCTCCTTGCAAAAACGAATTAAAACGTGCATTTTGGTTTAGATGGATGGATAATATGCATATGTTAGGTAAGCACTCTGGGGATATTGTATTATAAAGGTAATTTTACAGAGTTGGTTCTTGATGTTTCTAGCTTGGGCTGATGCTGATGTTCTGGTCCAGAGTATTGCTTATGGTGTTAAGGTTTCGGTTCGCTCCAGGACTTTCTAGATGTTTTGGGTGTTTGGTTTTGCTTCCTAATAGTATTTGAATGCTTCTAAAAAGTAAGAGTTGGTTACAGAGCTCCCTAACTGGCATTTCTATTTCTAGAGTCATCTGTTAGGTGGTTCAGATTGTACCCAGCTGAGTATCAATGGAGGACCGAACTCCTTTGGCCTTCAGGCTACTTCTAGGCCGTATATCACTGTGATGGTCCCAGAAGTTTAATTGTCTATTTGCAGTTAAAAATAGCAATATTGGTTCCTGGGCAGAACTGTGCACGGAGTTATTGTGATGTGCCATTCACTGGAACTTGTAGTTGTGTCTGTCCGGATTTCAAAGCTGTTTCTCAAAAGGTGGGAGTAGTAAATAGTATGTAACAGCCAGGAAATTCACTAGAGAAAAAGTCTTTGATTTCAGAGATGCTTCTTTCCTGTGGTGGTTGACTTGGACCTTAGTCCTGAACTGCAGGTTGTGAAAGTAGGACTGGTGTTTGGTTTGACTTCACCTGTTGAGCTTCTATTCTTTTGTAGTAAAAGAAGCTTCTCTTTCTTAGCAGCAGCAAAGAGAGGAATATTTAACCTTTTTGACATTGTAAAATAGATATATATTCTATAGCAGTAATTCAAAGACATCTAGGTTTTGCTTGGATGAAAGCTTGGTAATCAGGTTGGATGAAACATGGAATTGCATGGTGCTGCTCAGGATGAGGTATCTGTTTTTAAGGTTACAGCACGTTGAACAGGAACTTTGCACTGAAAAATACTTCTCCTTACAGGCAGTTCCAAGGCTGCGTCTTTGCACTGGACAGGTGAGCGAGCTGTCAGTGTCCTCTTGCTGGGTCTCCTTCCTGCAGCCTACCTGTATCCTGGACCAGCCATGGACTATTCACTGGCTGCAGCCCTCACTCTCCATGGCCACTGGTAAGCACAACAGGTCCCTCAGAATTAAGAGTAAATTCTGATAGTCAGGATGACTCCAAGTCTTAGGTCTTAAGTCTGTATATCACAGTAAGTCCCCCGACTTACTTCCTGATAAAATACCTGGAAAGAGATGCAAACAAAGTCCTTACTCTCCAAGTTCTGTGACAGTTGTGATCTTCGACAAGACTAATTGTATCTCAGTCTTCCTTTGCCACGCTGTTCTCTCAGTCAGAAGACAGGATACATATTACCAGTAAGGAATCCATAAACATTCTCTAGTGCTCTTCTACATAGTATCTTACTTTGTGGGGACTTCCTTGCCACTGGCTGTGTGGAATCTTGGACGTTTTTATCTTGTATAAGAATCAATGTTGTAGAAACAGAGGGAACAGAAAAGGACAGATCTATATAAAACAAGTTGTTCTTCTAAGGTTCTGTGCTGCAGGCTGCCTTTGTACATCTTAATGGTGATGCCTAATAAAGAGTTCATAGCAAATATTCCACGGAAGAAACCGAGATCTTGATTCCTGGGAAGTGGATGCTTGCTTATGTTCTTCTTCTTAAGTGTAGTTCTGTTGTGATCTTTAATGCGAGTAGGCTAGATGAGGCTAGTTAGGAGTGGATCCAGCTGCATGGTTGGCCTAACTGGCAGCATTTACATTCTTGAGGTGGTACTGGTCTGTAGTTCCTTGTCACAGGGATAAAGCAGATAACCAACGTCATGGTACTTTGGGATATCAGTTTTTCTTAAATCTCAGTTTTGTCCTTATGAAGTTGTACCAGGGATTATTGCACTTTCCGTGTTGACTGGGAGCTTTTTCCTGAAGCCTTCAAATCTAATACAGAATCAATCTGAAATGTGGCTATCCTTGAACATATTTGTCAGAGCTTTTTCAAATATAAAATACGTAAAGCTAAGCTTGCCTGCCTTTGGAGCATTTCTTCAGTTGTTTGGTGGGGGTGTGTGTGTGTGTTGGTGCTGTACTAGATGTGACCACATGAGGAGATTCCCTGCAATGGAACAGGTTATTGCAGGTTGATGTGTTGAAATGGGTTCTCTCTGATATTTTCTGTCAATGCATGCACATTTGATTCTTTAGTGAATGTCTCTTGTTGACAAAAGTGTCAGGATTGCTCATACGAGAAATCTCTTCTATAAACAGTGTGGGGGCTTCCCCCATGAGAAAAATGTCTTGCTGCTTGCCTGCAACTCTGCTGGTAACTTTCATCAGAGTGAATTCTTACCCCACTTCTGTGGTTTTTTTGTTCTCTTTTTAAGCTGGAACATTTCTCCAGTATTAAACTCTTATCTTGCAAAACATTGTCTTAAATACCTAAAGATATTCCTATGTAGGAAAATTCTTCTTTTGTACTTTCATAGGTGTTCAGTGCTTCTTTAAGAGAAAAAAAGATTGTTTGCTTTCAATAAACGTTAATTTGATTGCCATAACAGATCAAATAATCCCTCTAGTAGCTGATCAGAAGCTGCAGAAGAGTATTGCATATATTTTTGAGGGGTTTTCTTTCACCTTTTGCTCTGTTTTTCCTTAGGAAATCTTGTCCTAAAGTATGTTGGAAATACTGCTTCAGATAGGTAGTTATCAGTTCAAACAGTAACCTATGAACAGACTTCCTCGAGATACCTGAAGCCATTTTTATCTTGTACCATTTTGTTGGCGTCTAATAAGGATTTCTCTGCCCAGCGAAGCTGGTGTGTTGTGAGCTAGATTGTGCGTCTACCGCACGTGAGCTATTTCTCATAATTTACTTCCTTGTTCGCAGGGCTACTGATCCTTTACCATGAGGACTTTGTGTGAATTAATCAGTGTGCTGTAAAGTCTCATGCCAGTTTTTTGGTGAAGTCTTAGCATGGCTCAGTCTTACTGTGCCATGCAAAGGAAAGCTCTTATGAAAATCCATTATCAACACTACTGTTGAAGGGCAGCCTGTGAATCCCAAGTTGAGTATGCCTTATTTATCTACACTTTGGAAGGCTAGAAGTGCAGGTACGTGCTGCTCGCACACCTGACCTTATTCTACTGTCCAGTTGTAAAAAATAGCTGTAACAGTTTGAGAGAAGTTGCCTTTCGGAGTCCTTCCACTTTCTGCTTCTCTTTGTATCCAGGGGTTCCTTGCACCCCTTTTCTCACTTTTGACATCCTTATGGTATTAGAACTCCACATAAGCTAAACTGAGCTCACTGTACACTTGCAGTGGCATCTGCTGCAGGACTTTGAACCTTGCTAGGTCACTAGTGTATCTTAATTTGTGGGACACAAATCCTTCAGCTTCAGGCTAGACCAAGCCAAAATCCTAGGAAGAACATTGTTGCATTAAATACAATTTTTTTTTCTTTTTTTTTTTTTACCAAGTTGACGTCTGTCATTGCAGAAAGCAAACATAATTGTACTTTTGGGAAGAGGACTACCACATTAGTTTAATAGCATCTTCTGTATTTCTATTGATGAACAGTTTAAGCCTGGACAAAAGTTCACTTCCAGTCTGACAGACGTAGGAAAAAAACAGAGTGTGGTAATTTTTTGGTTGCCACTATTTTCTAATCTAAATACACATCCTGGAGTCTTCTGTGCATTTGTGACAATGACTGATCCCAGAGCCACACCTTGCTGTCCAAGCAAGAAGGATATTTCCTCTGGTTTCTTTTCTTCAGTTCTTGGAAGTCAGATAAGCTGTGCAGTATTGCTTGGAGGCAGATTCTACAGATTGTATTGTTGAAAGAGCTGTGCTCAATACCTTGTTTCGTCAGTACCATTAAGAAAACTCTGAGCCAATATGTCTTTTTTAAATAGAATATGTGGAATGTTGTGTTGTTTTGGTTTAAATAGATACATCTTTTTTTTGAGTGGGAACTGGGCATTCTTTAGGAAAGGTTGATGATAGTGGGTGAAAAAAAATGATGTGTTTCAGCGATATTAGTAGAATGCTCGCATAAACTGGATGGATTTTTAGTGAGGAGTGCTCTTTCCTGATTTCAGCTTTTTTCTCCCTCTTATTCTATAGGGGTCTTGGACAGGTTATAACTGACTACGTCCATGGAGATACATCCATTAAACTGGCCAATACGGGTCTGTACATACTGTCGGCTGTTACCTTCGCTGGCCTCTGCTACTTTAACTATCATGATGTTGGTATCTGCAAGGCTGTTGCCATGCTGTGGAGCCTCTAAGATGCGACCGACTCCTTGACAAACATGATTGTTCACTGCTGCCTCTGCTTCATCATATTTTTACCAACATGTTTAATGCAAAACAGATTAATAACCAAGGGTCCATAGTATGTGCATACTGCAGCAAGTTCAGAGCACGTCTTTTAGGAATAAATATCCTACAGCAGTAAAAATGTTAAAAAAGAAAAAGTAGATTTAAAGTGGATAATGTCCAGATGACAGTGAATTGATTTAAGCTGCACTGTAAATTGGAAGGAATAATTACATCAGTGACAGACTTCAATAGCTGAAGGTAACTTTCCTTGTAATGGCAGCTTTAATGAGTGTTTTTCTAAAGTAACTGGTGTTTGGTTTCCTATTTTATAAAACAAACTTGACATGCAGAAAATTGAACTGTTATTTCTGGCGTCACAACAACTTAACTGTATGTAAGGCACACTCTGTAACTCATTGGACCCTGCGAGTTGATGTAGAAAAGGGAATACTTTTTCTTAATCCATACAATAAAGAATTTACAGAAATTGTGTGTGTGTGCGCTTCTGAATGATTTTTGCTACTTTTGAGTTACTTAAAATGTTTTCTTTGCAGATGTTTTGGGTTTTTCCTCTAAAAACAAGTTCAAATACTAATTCATACTGTTCTGTTACTCTGCATTACTTCTTTTAGATGTTAAAAAACAAAAAATATTTTTATGAATATGTATTGTCCTTAATACATAAAGAGATGGTTTACACTTGACTTAATACAAGAGTAATGTCCATTGGAAAATGCAGCAATAATGGACTTAGAAGAAAAATACTTTTGCATATTAATTTTAGGAGTCATAAATAGCATTTGGCTTTCATATTTTCCCTGGAACCTGTGTGTTCATCTGCACTGGTATACATTTTAGGGTGGGGAATGAGATTCTGGTTTGTAACTTTCTTCTCTGCATTATCTTTTCTGACTTTCATAGAAGTAAGGAGTGGTTAACCATGTCCACATTCTAATGGTACTTCTGTGGTACCATTAATAGTAAGAGGAAGAGAATTGTGTGTTACCATCAGTCTGATTACGCAATAAACAGAATGAGTAAGTTGATGTTTGAATTCTACATGACTTTCTGATTTGGTTTCTTTTTTCTTTTTTTTCTTTTTTTAAATCTGGATTTGACTTTATTTACTTACTTATTCATGTAACCGTGGGAAATACCAGGTACCTGGCCACTTTTGATTTGCTGATCTTGTGGTCAGAATTGAGATGGTTACTTCTGTCTGATGTGGTCCGATTTAGATTATCAGTGTAACATTTGTTATTTTTTCATAGTGAGGAAGATGAATATGTGAGTCACTGTGAAGTACCTCCGTGCAATCTGAGCACATATCATAGAAAGTACTTGACATTTCCTCTTCTGAGACGAAACACAAGATGTATTGGTATGTAGTATTTGTTTAGGATATCTTGTGAGAAATTACTTCTTTAAGAGCTCTGGGAATGTAGTAGCCCAGACCTACAATGTTAGGGGCTAGGAACTCTGAGACCAGCTCATTGTTTTTGAGGCAAGAATTAAAAGGTAATGACCACAGCTTTCTCTGAGTCGCATGTGTTCCTCAGTCAACCAACACCTGTTGAAATTGAATCAGTTCCCTGTAATTACCATTAACTTTTGTTCGTAATTGTGATGGCTGTAACCATTTGGTCTAATCCCCTTTTTGAACATTCATCAGACATATAAAACAGGGAGTCAGTCCTGTTGGGTATCTGGATGTGTTAAATGCATTCTTGATTTTAAGTCCCTCCAGTGATTTCTTCCTAAGTGATAATGCCTTCAGTGGTGTCTGTACCTGATTCTAAAGAATTGGTTTCTTACTGCCTCTAGGTGCTCCTGAAGCGGCTCGTTAGCGAAATGGCAGGGGCAGCATAATGTGAAAAGCTGAGACAGTCAGGGTTATGACAGCAGTTTCATGTGTCTATGCTTTTCTTAAAGCTTTTTTTTAAAGCCCCTGAAATGATAGTTTTGGTTTGTTTTTTACCAAAACAAGTCTTGAGACTTATCTCTTCTGCAAGTTTGAGGATTTACCTCATTTCATGACAGCTTTCCTGTTTTCTCTGATTACTTCTGCCTGTATGGGGTATGACAGTTGTACCAGCTCTTCTGAAGACCCAGGACCCCAGCTGCAACCAGTGTTCAGATTGTCACTACCTTGAGTTGGAACAGAAGAGGAAGACCAACACTCATCTTACATGTAGAAGAAAAGAATCATATCTATGTCAATTTCCTCAAGATTAAATAGTTGACATGCCTTACGTTAATCTGGTTTTAGTGAAATCCAGGGCTTGCTCAGCTCTGAATGCGAAGCAGAGTTCACAGCTTGACCCCAATGTATGCTGCATTGTCACATACGTAGAATAAGATAGGGCCCTTATGGGAGCCAGCCATATCTACATGTGTTTCAGATTGTTAGAAGGACAAATACCTGTTTTTTTTCATCACTAACCTATACTTTACTGTTAACTTCTAAAAACCTTTACATAAAAGCACAATTCTTCTGTTTTCTTGGGCCCTCTGAGGACAAACAGCTTTATTAGAACTTTAATTGTTCAGGTAAGTTAGCAGTTTTCTCAAGAATCTCCAGTAAGTTAAAAATGGTCTGTTGTTTCTACTTCAGTTGAAGGTGATAATATCACTGTGTAACTGAGATTCCTGAAGACGCTCAGGAAATAATCTTCATGCAAAAAAAAGTAATCTCAAAGTCTTTATTGGCTAGGTGCATGGTCTGCTTATGAAACCTGTTGTTCTAAGCAGTCCCTCCCCAAGAATAGGTCAACTTCATCTATAAGACACCTAAATCAAAAGCTGTTTGATCAACAGGTAGTAAAGGTTTTAGGGATCAAACTATACAGGACTATACAGGCATGCACATTCTTGGTTCTTCATTGTGTAATTCTTTTTCCTGCTATCTGACTGGAAAACATTCCTGTGCTGCTTTTTGGCAAGAATTTGAATTCATTTTCCTTTGTAAGATGCTCATTTTTGTACTGTCTTATGGTAGCTAAAAACATAACACTGGCTTGCCTTGGAATAAGATTTCTTTTATAAAAAGCCCCAAATATATTTTAAGACTGCTGAAGTATGTCATAGGTTGTGACTCTCATTCAGACTTAAGTTAGAAACTTATCTTCGTAGTTTCATCTACTTCATCTTCTCTTGACAGTTTCTTTAGAATTAATTTTCGTAAGGAGCCTTCTTCCTCAAAGGCCAAAAACATTCCTTGTTCTAGTGAGTATTCAAACTTAAATGCTCTGGAGCTACAAGATGTAAACATCTTCTTGAAAAAGATTACGTTACTTTCACCAGGAATGTCTTTGGGAACTTCTCCTTCCTGAGGAAGAAAAAGGAATGGGTTAGTCCCCGCACAAGACCCGAGCAGGCTTGTTTCAGCTCACACAGGCTTGAATTCTTAATTTTGCCTACTATTTATATATACATAAGGTATGTAAAGCAGATACTTACCCTAAATCGTACTATCATTTCTCCACATTCTTTCTCACAACACATGTAATAGCTTTTATCTTCTACCTGGACACTGAATGCAACAGGCATCCCTGCTGAAGGTGTGGTAGTTTTGTAATAGTGAATGTTGAAGTGCATTCCATTGCCTAAATAGAAATTGTTTATTACTAATAGTCTGCTCAGGAGAGGGCTGCAGTGACTTTACCATGTTACATCTTACCATTCCATTGGCAACTTTTCCTGACAGGAGAGCCAGAACCCGAATTTTTATGACTGCTGACAGTACATATTTGACTTTCTGCAGTCATTCAATAACCAAGATTTTGGATTTGCAAGAAAGCATGTGAAGTTACCAGTTCGTATGGGTAGGATGTTGAAATGCTTTTATGTGCATGCATAAAGTGAGAATTGGATTTGTGAACAGTCAGCTGTAAATCAGATTACGTTTGTATGTATGTGATTGTAAATAAATAGTTCTGAATTGCTCAGCCCCCCCCCCCCCAAATCACAGCCAAAACCGTAAATACGTTGTTAGCTACTGCTGTTAGAAGAAAGTAAGAGCTTTTAGTGTTATATACATTGTCTGTTTAAACCTAAAAACGATTTTTTTGTAATCCAACACAAAAAAAGAAAAGGATTAAGAAGTTAGTTTGTGATCAGAGCTAATCAAAAGTCTTAGCAGCCCTTTTCTGCAAGGGACACCCCCAGGCCTCAGTCTAGTCTAGTCTAATCTAATCCATTACTAATGTACAAGACACAAAATTTCAGTGCTCAGCTTTATTCTTAAAAATGAATTTTCAGTCTTTACTCTCAGTCTCATCATTTAGAGTCAGGGATTAGAAAGAACAAAAGCACATCTAGAATAAAGAAACAGAAAATGGTGTACCAGACTTCATCTCCTGATCTGTCACATCTTCAAAAGCTGCCACATTTAAATCTGGTCGAACCACAAGCAACTGGCTATTTACATTTCGAAGGACTCGGTGGAGAATTTTTTCCTTACAAAAGGCATCACATTCCAGCCCTGTAGAAATATTAAGCAAAGAGGGTCAAATATTGTAGCTGTAATCGCCTCAGATCCTAACAGTTAGCTACAGGTTTAATCTTGTCATTAAGGCTACCAGGTGAAGTAAGTTCTTAGAATGGCAATCTCAAACACAATGGAGGCCGTGTCATTCTTTCCACCTCTGGCTCGTAGCAATCCAGGCAAGACAGAAGCGTTTCCCAGAATACAGCAGGCTCTATATACAAGCAAGAGAAGCTACTGTATCTGTTAATGTTCAGAAGCAACAATTCTCTCTTTTGCCCAATAATTGGAATTGCATTAAAAGGTCCTTCTGTTATGGAAGCTGCTACCCTGTACCTTAGAAGGAAATAAAACAACATCAGCTTCAGAAGGAGAAGGTGAGCTGTAGCTCTCTTTTTTTTTGACAGTTGTCGTTATCAGTTTGAAAACTTGTTCTGTAAGCCACACAAAGCATTTGTGGGTTAGTAAGCCTGAGCAGGTTAATCAGGTAAAATTGATAATGAAGGTAATAAATGATGAACTTTGAGCTTACCATCATCGTCTTGGTTCCAAGTGAGCAATGAAAAAAAAAAAAAGGAAAGAAAAAACAACATTAAGCTCTGCCCCCACAAAAGAAACCACTTTCTACCCAGTTCTGTTCTGCAAGACTGGAATTCAGCCAGCCACCTACGCATTTCCAGTTGTAGTCCCCAGTATCACTAACTCACCGAGCTGAGCTGTTCTAACTACAGAGTGTGTTTTGTGAGTATAACAAACTCAACAGAATGATGAAACCACCAGTCACTTGAGTACTGGAGTTACCACCAAACCAAGAGGCATGCAAAATGTCTTAGGGTTACTTAAGGGTGAGGAGCTCAGATCAGTTTAAGCCTATAACCAAGGGATAAATAGCAGGCAAATTTTTGCTTTCATCAGCACCTTTATTCTAAGGGAACAAAAAGACAAGAAACTACAAATTGCTTCTAAAGAAGAGACTGTTTTCCAACCAACTTTATGCTGTAAGATTGGAAGTCGTCCACTTATTCCAACTCCACCCCACAGTATTACAACCCTTCTGAGTGTCCTTTACAGGAATGTATTGTATGAAGCAACAAATATTCCACTGGCTCAGATATTTGGCTAACAATACTTCAAACTTAAGTTTCTGGGAAAATTAGGTGGAATCAGACTGAGAAAGGAATTGTTTTTAATCAGTATTCAAACAGAAAAAGTTATTAAACGCTTAAGGTGTTCAGCAATAATACAGTACTGGCCTGTTAACACACTGGGACAGCTGTCTCAAACTCAGATTCGTTTTGCCTGGCCCCATAATCTAAAAACTATCATTCTTCTAAGTGAGTGGGGACTGTAACTGCTTTGAGGATTGCTCAGGTAACATGGAGGGAAAAACCAGGATTCCACAAAACCAGGGAATGCCCGCCCCAGGAAAGGACTGAATTGTCTATCAGCTTTTGATCTTCTATGCAGAAAGAAGACACAGTGTGTCTCTTTCAGAAGTGGGTAGTAATTACCTGCAAAATAGAGGCAGAAATTTTCTCCAAGTTGTACTGCACACACAAGAATCTCTTCACTACTCATCTTCACTCTGCCAAAAACACGTGGACAAGATTCAGAGTAAGAAAAATGCTTTTTGCTCTATAAGGCAAGGGAGTTCTTGGGCTAGTTCTCTTCTAGCGCACAGCACTCTTATAGGGCTGACATGTTTCACTACCTGTTGAAAAATTGCCTTTTTAAATAATTAGTTTCCTCCTCTATTGCCTTTTATCATTATTTAGAATAACATAGAGCATCCTTCAAGTTCTGTTGTTACAAAAGTTCATTGAATTATGCAGTGTTACATGGGAATAAATAATAACTCATTACCATTTTCTTTTTCTGTGAGAATGCTAATAAGTAGCTCCATGAACATACTTCATCAAATCAGTTCTCTTCTCTTGGGCCTGCAAAAATTACCTTACTATCACATGGTCATTTTTGAATAGAGAAGTAACTAAGACTGGGTTAAGCACCCTGTTATGAGCCATTAAGCCATAAAAGTTATATTAAGTCTACACAGACTTATCTTTCCAGGTTCCCTCTATAAAAGACAGAACTTCCAAAATACCCAAAACTTAGTCCACCTTTGGCTGCCCCTTGGAAAGGCCTTTATCTTTTGCATCTTGAGCTGGAATTGCGTAGGTTCCTAGAGAAGGTGGGATGTAGTTTATTTTGCAGTAGCAGCTGTTGGCTTATGTTGTTTTAACTTTATTTTAACTCAGATTGAATTCTGAGCTTGATTTTACAGCTATTCTCTTTCAAGAGTGACACAGAGAAAAGTGAAGACGAACAGACATATTTCCCTTGGGAATAACAGTTATTTTACCAAAACCCGCTGAACTAATCATTAAAGACCAGCCATCTTCTGCACCTGAGAGGTTCCAGCCCCTGTTCAACACACTTCAGGGTTAATTTAGAACTAGCCTGGGGCTGCACTTTGCCTCTAATATCAATACAGAACCCCCCCCAAGATCTCCAGAAGAATAATTGGTTTTAGCGTTGTTCATATCCTCAGCCTCACACAGTTAACAGCCAGAGAGGTAAACTTTATATTCTTTAGCTTTCTCACATAGCGACTGAGAGAATGTCACATTCTCAGTCTGTTTAATAGATAAAACAATGTATATGTTTAATGTATAAACCAAAAGAACAGCAATGGTCATAAATTTGCTATGCCTGTTCCTTTTCTTCTGTCGTAAAGTTTCTATTTATGCTGGCAGAAAAGAGATACAGCTGAACAGATTGTATTGCTTTGCAGGCCACAGATGTCTCCGTATCTTCAGTTCTAGCAGTGCACCAGGCGATAAATTACATAATAACTCAAAAGTTCTGTGGAGTCACCTGTATTGAGTAGGACTTGAACTGCAAAGTCTAGTATTTCAGTAATTTTACTGCTGTTGGGATGGTTGCCATTGGAAGGAATAATTCTAAGAAATACTTTTATTTTAAAACTGATAACGATATAATCTTCAAAATTAAAATAGCATCTCCTATCTTTAAAGAAAAGTAAGAATCAGAATAAAGGGAATTACAATATGACAGAGAAAGATGTGGCAAAGAATTTAATTCTTTCTCTTCTCTGGCGGTAAACAGTTTTAAACTATCCTCTTATATGCCACTAATTTTGTGAAATGCAGGTTGTCACTTTCCCTCCTGTTTCATTACCTGGCTTTGTGATTGGTGTAAAATTTTTTGGCCAGGTGCACAAAGTAACATGCACCTAAAGGCATCCAAGCTTTAGGAGCCCGGCATCCGTATGAAGTCTTCAGCCTGGAGCTATGTGCCAAGCCTCTGTATACAACACATGGGAGAAGACAGTCACAGCAGAATGCATGAAAACTTGATCAGGCAGCATCAAGTAACCACAAAGCCAACAACAGTGACTGTAAAAACACTGAAGTCACTGCTTGTAAGTAGTCTACAGTATGATGTGCTTCATTCAAACCTACCAGCTCCTCTCAAGGCATTCTTTCCCCCTTCACTAGCCACAGAAATAATAATCATAATAAATGTGTTAAAGCTAGCTAAACAGTGGGCAGAACTGGCTCTTGCACTGGCTGGGATTTTATTGTACAGTCAAAACATCTGGCTTACTTCCAAGGCTCTTTTTCACCCCTTGAAAAAGCCTTATTATACAAAACAACTCAGCAATGCCAACTTAAGTACATAAGAACACACATCAACCTTAAGGATTGAGGAGGGGGAAGCCCAGTAATTTCCTTGTCCCTCTAGTAAGGCACTTTGAGGAATGTATTTGAAAGTGATTTTTTTCTCATCCTGTTTTTTATACTGTCTATAGTTCTAGCTGGTCTGCGCAGAAGAGGAACCCGGGTTCCTAGCAGAGGACTGCATCTTTGTTTCGAAACACGCATCCCCAAGCCTTTGAAACGAAATACCACAGCACCAACCAGTGCCGGCCGCATCAGTAGCGCAGTAAGCCAAGAAGTGAAGGGCTACTCTGTTACTCTAAAGCAGAGTGGAAGGCACAGGCAGGACTTACTGATAAAGGATTAAAGGAAAATGTGGCCGTTCGTTTAATGGGTTAAACACCCAGAACGACCACCCTGACGGGTAGTAAAAGATGGTTAGTTTTAGCAAGCGCGTTTGAAAGGCGCGGTGGAAGCTAAAGGCAGTTTTTAGCCGACTGTCGCAGGTAGCGTGTACCGCCTCGCCCGCGGAGACACCGGGACGGAGCAAAGGCGAAGAGCAGGGCGGTGTCCCGGCGGGGCAGGAGCGGAGCCCGGGGCAGCGCGGGTACCGCGGTGCGGGGCCCTCCGCCTACCGCGGCCAACCCGCCCG